AAACCAAACAATAACCAAATTTCTGTAAACTCAGCATTGTAATCCTTATAGAGAATAAACTTTGAATTGAATTGAAAAAAAAAATATTTATATGTACCTCAGATCAGGAGATATAAGGCTGCTGGAACAGAACACGCAGATAAAAAATAATCACAGCACCATGGACAAAGGAACAATATTAAATATGCCCAAAGGATAAAGTAATAAACAAAGTGGAACAGCAAACTTGTTACCTCCCATCACCTTTACTCTCTACCCAACCTCTCCCTCACCCTATACATAGCCCTTGTATTTCCTCTTTCCTTCTCTCACTGAATGCCACTTTCTTTCCCCTCTTCCCGTCCCCCTCACCCCGCTTTTCTAACCTCACCTATGACTGGCTGTACTAACACTCAGTCAGAAATTAGAAGTAATAACCAGCAACTAACTACTCCCATTTCCTTCTACCACACCTCTGTTCTTCTCTCATTCCACTCCTCTTTCCGTTCTCTTACTCTCATTTTTTTCCACATCCTGTTTCTCCGCCTTCTTCACATACCAGAATAACTTACTCTCTCTAACTTCTTTCCCCACCCCACATCCTCAAACACCTGCACCTCCCCACATTCTGCTTTTTCTGTCCTCTACACTCTACACTCCAGTTCTCCCTTTCTTCCTCCTTTGTGCCTCTTCCATTTTAAATAATTCCCCTCCTTTATGCTCTCACTTAAACTTATTCTTACCTTTTTCCCCTCTCCTACTTTTAACTTTACCTAACATATCACTTCAAGACTGTCTCTTCTCCCTTTCCATTTAATCCATTCACTCTTCCCTACTTGTCCTCCTTTCAGAAGTCAGTCTCAGTACCATTAGTCCTAACATGAAGTACAAATGCAACGGATTTACACACACACACAAAAAGAAGAAGTAGAAGACAGGAGCAGAAGAGCATCCAAACTATATAGCTATCAGAGAGATAAACCTCTCTTAAATGTTAACTAAAGATATAATCCTAAACTTGAAACGCATTCTTAAAATAGGAATGGAACAGATGAGGAAGTTTGACCGTAATAGTTAGGATACTGTAGAATTATGTGTGCTAAGAAATTTCAGTAAATATATAGCAGGATATATATAATATCCAGGAGGCCCAAGGAAATAGCTGCAGTGGTTTACAATCTCCGCTTCCTTGAACATCACGTGACTGACTTAAGAGTTTTATGACAACTGGGCTACTATGCACATCTTGGAATCAACGATACAGAGAGCGAGTAAGACCAAAGCAAAGCTACCAATCGGGGAAGATTTTAGTCACGAAGAAATAGATTGGAAGAGCTGAGATCCTTATTAAGCATATCAAAAAAATATGTAGCATTTACAGAGCTTACCATGAGCACAGCCCTAGAGGAAAGAATGGTAAGCTACGAGGAAAGTCTATAGGAGTTAAAACTGACTTTGTTTACAAGTTAGCATGATAAAGAAAGACTTGATGACAAATAAAATACACAGATAACTTGATAGGGAGGTAAAGGAATAAACTGAAAAAGTGGCAGGAAACGTATATAAAATCACAGAAAGAAGTTTAAGATATTAGAGTCAGTGGTTTATCACGAAGAATTCTTTCAGCTTCAAGGAGAATAGTAAGTAATATAACCCGGAAGACAAAATAGCAGAAGTAGGCTCCATACAGCTAGAAAAGTAGATATGGTAAACTCACGTAGATGGAGAAAATCCATAAGCAGTCTAGAGAGAGTCTGATCAATTATCTGTGACTCCTTCAATACAATAACATAAATATGTTAAAAAATAGGTAAGAATAAACAAAACACACACACACACACACACACCACACACACACACACCAACACACACACACACACACACACCACACACACACACACACACACACACACACACAATTAGGTATATTTCCACACCATAGGAAGGTTAGCATAGGCACCACTGTGACCACAGATGCAAGCTAGAGTTCGTCACGGCCACGCTAGCTGGAGATTCGTCTGTAAAAACTTGCATCTGTGGTCACAGTGGTGCCTATGCTAACCTTCCTATGGTGTAAAAATATACCTAGTTGGATGAATCTTATTGTGGCTAGCTGGTCCAGTGGCTAACGCGACGGTCTGGAGTTTTGAGACTCTCTGACCGCGGGTTCAATCCCGCCCGTGGTGTGGTTTATCATGCATCATAAAAAGTAATTTTGAAAATAATATGAATATTTCCTTTGGTTTATATAAACTGGATTCATTTATAATTAATAAAATTTTGGAAGAATTTAAGATACATTAGAGAAATTATTGGGTAGAGTATAAGCTGATGATAATGCGGATTTTTCAATTATTGTGTTTTAGACAGTGAAATATAAAACCCACGTACACACCCATAGACATGGGTGAGAGACTACAAGAAAATACCGAGGTCATTAATTATTTTCAAATTTAGTATGATATTCAAAATATTTTATGTTCTATTCATTTTAGTAGCCGATTATGTTTTAAGAAGTTCTTCAGGAAAGTCAAGGTAAATAACAGTAAGAAATTAATGAGCTTAGGAATGATTAAATACGGGAAAAATGATAATGATTGAACGAGGTTTTTCTGGAATAAAAACTGCATAGGGGTATAAGCTATCCTAGCTATAAAGGTATAGTGAAGCTCATGTGCAAGAAAGCAATAGACATGTGTATACTTCCGTCAGGCAGAGAAGCGATCTAATAACGCTACCATAAAGATTTTTCACTCAGTCTATTTAGCTACAAATAATAATGAATATCCAATGGATCTTTCCACTGATACTTTAAACCACAACATTTTACTGCTGAATCTAGAGCATTATGAAATCAGAGTGCATGCTCTCTCTTATATATAGTTCTTCCTTAATGCTTGACTTTAGAATGTGACAATCAATGAGAATACCTCAACGTAAAATATCAATATAACGGTGGCTTAAGATATCGTCTTTGTCTCACTATTATTCCTCATCTACTGTATAACACTGACTAGCTATTGCCTCCCAGGAACTTAAACTAGCCCCGTTTGTAGATGACGCAGCGTTTTTCATATTCCATGCAGATCCTCGGCAACATAGTTACTGAGGAGCTCGTAAAGATCTCCAACTGGATGGCCACCAACAAACTTGCGCTCACTATTGACAAGGTCTTCTTCACGTTGTTTAGGAAGAAAACTAAAAATGCTTATTTCAACATAAATATAAATAACTCACACATATAAAAAGAAGACGAGAGAAAGTTGTTAATGATACATCTTAAACTCCGAAATATTACGCATAACTAAGTAAATTTCCAAACTTGTGGCCATTTTATCGAAAATAATCCAGGCTCCAGAACAACACTTGTTCAGTGTATTACTACCTAATCTGTCCCTACCTCCCTTATGCTACCTGAGCTTAGGAATCTACTACAGCAAATCACCTAAAACCTTATATTACCGAACAATAATGAGCTGTTAGAACGATCACCTAACCATGTTCCAGACTATACAAACCCTCACTAATCAGAAGTCTTAATTTACTCAACAAACAACAAACACACACTTACTACTGTGTATTTAATGTGTACAGGACGCTTAGAACAACTTCAGCCCAGAGCTTCCGCTCTTCCTGAAGAACTGCTTTAGAACACATACAGTACAGCAAATAACTATCTCTAGGATATGCGACTTATAAGACTCGATCTATTTAGGAATCCCATGCAATTGAAGGCCACTAAAATTTCTGACCTCTCTTCCAGAAGATGAAAAATTCTCATTCAGCCATCTGCTTCAAAAATATAATTAAAAAGAATCTCTTCACTCTGATCTAAACACTGCTTAGGTTAATTATGTTAAAGTCCAGTTTTCAGTCGCATCTCTATAGATCCAAATCATGTTAGCGTTCATAATATTCACTATCATTTATATATTTCATCACTTGAAAATAAAAATATGTTTCACCTCAGTATTCCCAATGAAAATTTTATACCAAATTGTTACATATAAAACATCTATACGCCATAAATCATTAACGAAATTGTAATAGAAAAAAGTCAAAGATTGCAAACCTTAACATTCTAGTAAACTACCCTAACTGAAACTTTTTTAAGTAGTTAAACGTTAATTTTAAGGCTCTGCATAACAAGGGGATTTCTGCAGTATAATTTATACATGTCAGTTAATCTATGTCATTTGTTTACGCTACTGTACTTTATGGGAAAAAAAATTGGCATTGTCAACTTATTATCATTATCAACGCCATTTTCAAGTAAAAGACAATATAAGAACCTATTTCTTAATTATCAGTGAAAGGAGGACAAATTCAAGAATATGTGGGAAGAAAGAGATCGAAATCAGGTTGAGAATACTGGGAAGGTAGGACGAAAGTCAGAAAAGAAGTTGAAAAATAGTTTGAAATAGGCAGTCCAAGATTATCTGCAATAATATCAGAAGAAAAAGACCAACGATGAAGCACCCACAGACATTCACAGAAGGATGTTTTGAGCTCAAGAGAAGATTACTCAGTGACTTTACAAATGAGCAAAGACCAGAACCAGATACTGAGAGAAACATGAAACAAATACTATTATGAAGCATTAAAATGAATAATGGAGACTTGCGGGTGCAGAAAACAGATGATGACACATCGAAGACATCGCTTGGAATATCACTAATATTATTTGGAACTAAAATTTTGTGCAACACACACTTACACATATTATTAATGAGAGAGAACTTTCAGACAACTGAATGTTAGCAAGTATAATAGCAGTTCACAACTGAGAAACACATTGGATATAAATCGCTGAACAAAGTTACAATCCCTCCTTGACCATTACAGAAAAGGGTCCCTGACGAATATAACACGCAGTTTGCTTCAAAGAAGATTACGTGAAAAAAAATTATTGACATCCTGAAAGTTATGAACTGTACTCAGAAGACACACTTAGCTATTTGTAGCATGAACAGATGTGACTAGTGTTAGAGTAATAATAAATAGTTTGAGTTAGAACTCACGTTCTCGTCTTTGATGTAGCGGACCTGGAACCTGTCGTCGCTGCTGTAGGTCTGGGAGCCCACGGTCAGCAGGTGATAATCCCGTCGTCTTATCCACGACACCTGTGGGGAGAGGTGAGGTTATGTCAACTCAGGTTCAAAAAGAAACTCTGACGTAATCGTCGTGGTATTAAAGGGATGACTATGTCGCTATCCAATTTCATTTTTTACAGATAATGAATGTTGATGTAACGTTGGAGATAATGATAATTAGAGAAAAATAATGTATGGAGGAAGGGGATAGGACACAGTGTTAAGATTAGAAATTAAATGAGAATGAAGATAGTCAAGACCGATACAACAGTAAGATAAATAATAGTTAGAAAAGCATCGTCAATTCGTGGGAAAATGAGGCAACGATTGTCATTATATGAGGAAGGATGAAGCACTGATAGTGAATACGTGAGGCAGCGTTAAGCAGTGATAGTCAATAAGTGAGGCAGTGTGAGGCGATGTTAGTCAATACACGAGACGGTGAAGCAATGGTTGTCGTAAGTGCGTGAGGCAGGGTGAAGCAATGTTTGTCGTAAGTGCGTGAGGCAGGGTGAAGCAGTGATACACAATACGTGAGGCAGGGTAGGGTGATGCTAGTCAGTATGTGAGGCAGGGTGAGTCCTGGGGAAGAAATGTGGCACGGTAATCCAGGCAGGTGAAGCAGTTGCTCTCATATTTTCTTCTTGTACAAACAATAACTAGTATTAAACAATCATTGTACGAACGGGTGTACCAAACTTGAAAAGATGTTCCCAATTTTTTTACAAAAGTGCCTATTCATGTACAGTTTTCAGAACATATTTCATTGATAAAATATGAACAATATAAATAGAGATAACTAATTTAACTAAATATTTTATACATGATATTTAACTTTTAATTCTATACAATAACCAAATAATATTTTATGTATATAATTTCAAAAGATGTATAGACCATGTTATATGTAAATAAATATAGCTAGACAGTCAAATTAAAACGAACATGGTTAGTTTCCGTTTGGAGTTAACGAGGGAGTTACACCAGTGGAGTCACTGACGTTAGTATATGAGTTGACGCATCAAAGGACCTGAACATCATGGCGTAATAGAAACTGTTTTATTTAACACGATATCCTCAGATGGGAAAGCAATATCCGGGAATATTCAGTGATATCTAATTTCTCATTGACAACAATATGAAGTCCACGTATCCTATATTAACTCAAACCTGCAACTTGCAGTGTCTACTATCAATTTTTATAACCTAAGCATTTTTTTTCACATGAGTATTAGGTAGACGGAGGCTTACACAAAAGCCGTATCCACCACATCATGTAGATCCAAGACTATAGCGTGTCCATGATGAAGTTTGCATTTTAGAACGAGAATGATAGGGGTCAGGAAATGTACCTTATTTCTTAATAGCATATACTTAGAGCGAAAATTATGGTTTTACTATTGTACTGAAAGAAAAACACTAAATCGTAATGGTGATGCATAATAATAATTATAATAATAACTATTATTATTATTCTTATTATTATTTATTATTATTACCTCATTCATGGGGAAGTGCTAAACCCGTAGCGGTCGTACAGCTCTGGTTGATAGCAAGTATTCAGGCTCGATTCAAGAAATTGTAGCAGTTTCAGTTCCTTAAAACAAGAGACCTTCATCAACATCAAGGAACCTCCCTTGAAGGGTAAGGGTCCTGCAGCGCTTTTTGAACTGAAGACAATTGTGCTCGATATGACGAAGGGAAGATCAAGTCCATTTCCTTTGACGAATAGCTTCTCACAACCATCGAATCACTTCCCTGGAGAGCCTTAGTTGATAGTTATTTTATAGGACAGAATTCCTGAGATAAGTTGACACTGTATGCGAGTACCGATGCTTTAATCTGTTGTTGTGTGGTCCTAGGTCTAACACCGCGAGATTCAGGTAGGATAAACAAGTCTCTTGTTTTAACATGCTGTGTAGAGAAGGTAGACGACTTGTTAAAGAACATAAGACTGTAGTAACACTACAACAAGCCTACTGGCCCACGCAAGGCAGCTCCTTATCATAACCACCCATATATTCAAAACCACTCACAAAGTTCTCTTCCGATTTCAATTTGCTTGCAAGAAAATGGTAAAAACAAGAGATAAAAATTAAGTTTTCTCCATGTGATAGATGAGGTAATAGAACTTTTACACAGTTTTGTCATTGGCTAACTTATGCATTCTCAGCCTGTGCAGCTCTAGTGGCCAGTTACACAACTAATCAGTACTGAAGTTCTTTCTATTATTGGCCACCGAATCAAGAATTTATTCTACCACAGAGTGTTTAAATGTCAGCTATTGTTATCTGAAAAATATAATCTTTCAGGAATCCCTAAAATGTCAAAAGTGATGATAGCAGAGCAAAGAGACCATTTGATGGAGTTATTAAGTCCATTCCAACCGTCAGGGAACTTCATGACGAGATAATTATGCTAATATATATGCTAATATATAAAGGCAAAGGGGACAAAAGAGAGTGCAAAAATTATAGGGGGATAAGTTTGTTGAGTATACCTGGTAAAGTGTATGGTAGAGTTATTATTGAAAGAATTAAGAGAAAGACGGAGAATAGGATAGCAGATGAACAAGGAGGCTTTAGGAAAGGTAGGGGGTGTGTGGACCAGGTGTTTACAGTGAAACATATAAGTGAACAGTATTTAGATAAGGCTAAAGAGGTCTTTGTGGCATTTATGGATTTGGAAAAGGCGTATGACAGGGTGGATAGGGGGGCAATGTGGCAGATGTTGCAGGTGTATGGTGTAGGAGGTAGGTTACTGAAAGCAGTGAAGAGTTTTTACGAGGATAGTGAGGCTCAAGTTAGAGTATGTAGGAAAGAGGGAAATTATTTCACAGTAAAAGTAGGCCTTAGACAAGGATACTGTGATGTCACCGGGTTGTTTAATATATTTTAGATGGGTTGTAAGAGAAGTAAATGCGAGGGTCTTGGCAAGAGGCGTGGAGTTAAAAGATAAAGAATCACACATAAAGTGGGAGTTGTCACAGTTGCTCTTTGCTGATGACACTGTGCTCTTGGGAGATTCTGAAGAGAAGTTGCAGAGATTGGTGGATGAATTTGGTAGGGTATGACAAAAGAAGAAAATTAAAAGTGAATACAGGAAAGAGTTAGGTTATGAAGATAACAAAAAGATTAGGTGATGAAAGATTGGATATCAGATTGGAGGGAGAGAGTATGGAGGAGGTGAAGTATTCAGATATTTGGGAGTGGACGTATCAGCGGATGGTCTATGAAATTGAGGTGAATCATAGAATTGATGAGGGGAAAAGGGTGAGTGGTGCACTTAGGAGTCTGTGGAGACAAAGAACTTTGTCCTTGGAGGCAAAGAGGGGAATATATATGAGAGTATAGTTTTACCAACGCTCTTATATGGGTGTGAAGCATGGGTGATGAATGTTGCAGCGAGGAGAAGGCTGGAGGCAGTGGAGATGTCATGTCTGAGGGCAATGTGTGGTGTGAATATAATCAGAGAATTCGTAGTTTGGAAGTTAGGAGGAGGTGCGGGATTACCAAAACTGTTGTCCAGAGGGCTGAGGAAGGGTTGTTGATGTGGTTCGGACATGTAGAGAGAATGGAGCGAAACAGAATGACTTCAAGAGTGTATCAGTCTGTAGTGGAAGGAAGGCGGGGTAGGGGTCGGCCTAGGAAAGGTTGGAGGGAGGGGGTAAAGGAGGTTTTGTGTGCGAGGGGCTTGGACTTCCAGCAGGCATGCGTGAGTGTGTTTGATAGGAGTGAATGAAGACAAATGGTTTTTAATACTTGACGTGCTGTTGGAGTGTGAGCAAAGTAACATTTATGAAGGGATTCAGGGAAACCGGCAGGCCGGACTTGAGTCCTGGAGATGGGAAGTACAGTGCCGGCACTCTGAAGGAGGGGTGTTAATGTTGCAGTTTAAAAACTGTAGTGTAAAGCACCCTTCTGGCAAGACAGTGATGGAGTGAATGATGGTGAAAGTTTTTCTTTTTCGGGCCACCCTGCCTTGGTGGGAATCGGCCAGTGTGATAATAAAAATAAAAAAAAATATGCAGAGAACTGAATTTTCATATTTATTATATTGTAATTCAGTTTTGAAATCGGAGCACCTTGGGCCCGTCTAGATCCGAGCTGGAGGCGATCTGAAACTCACGGTGTCTGAAGTTGCTAACAAGAAAAATCTAAAGGAATTTCTGAATGCAATATTCACTAGACAAACGATACAAATGTAAAGTGGAATGCAGCATCTTGATGCTCTTGCCCATATCATCTTATAAAGTATATGTAGAGCATATAAATAACTTGTTACATAATGCTCATATGCGTATTACATCTAGTGTGTAATTATGTGCTTTAATATGCACGAGCATGTGCACATGGCTCAAAACTGTAAACAGTGTCTTAAATATACTTCACATTTTCTATTAACTACAGAAAATACAATGAGAAATGTCTGAACAAAGGCAGAGGTGCACCGGAGGCAGCGATTTAGCATATCGGCTGGAGTGCGCGGCAGAGGCCGATAGCGCCCGTAACACTGGCAGTGGCCCCAAACATTGGCGGCGGCTAGTAACCTTGGCGGTGGCTTGTAACACTGGCGGTGGCCTGTAACATTAGCAGCGGCGCGTAACATTGGCGGCGGCCTGTATCATAGGCGGCGGCCTGTATCACAAGCGGCGGCCCGTAACACTGGCGGAGGTCCCTAACATCGGTGGGGGCCTGTAACGAGAGCCTAGGAAACCCAATTCCAATTACATATTACACCAGCGGCTCAGTTTTCCCTCAATAAACCCGCTAATTAGAATGATAAGTACACTGTACGTACGTGTAGCCACAAAATACCCTAAGTCAGCCTGGCACACTTGCAATCATTCTTCTCTAATTCATTTTCTCAATAATGCAGCAAATCATTATTATATGTATATTGGCATGTGCAGAGAATTCTGCGTAGCCTCAGAGTGCCTTAAGTCAGCCTGGTGCAGTAGCTATCTTCCATTATTTGCATGTTGATCGTGAGTTTAGTTTGTCAACTGTGTCTTCAGTTACTTTAGCTTA